GTCTTACGCCTCAAAATGCCTTGAGGCTTACGCCTCTCATCATGAACGAAAAACGCCTCAATACCCAATTGCACAATTTTAAACATCGATTTCGATTCCCTTGTGGTATGTTTGTGTAATGTTTGTTGTTATCATGTACTTGTCTGTATTCATGATTTTGAAGGATGCAACATTTATAGTTTAAGTAGTTTTAAGGTTCATCACTTTGAATGAGGAGTTCTTAATATCCTGCTCAGCTCTCTAGCTCAACAAAGTCTAGGAAAAGTTGTTGGATTTTCCTTTATCTTTGATTGAACGAGGGTGAATCTCTCTGGGCCTATATCACCAAGTTCAATAAAGAAATGTTGAAGTTGCTTACCACGAACCTCTCAATTTCATAGGTAGCACTAATCCAGGGTTTGAGAAATATATATATATATATATATATATATATATATTTAAATTTTGTGTTTGTAAATAACTAGCTTGAGTCCATACCAATCATTTGGGAAGAGTGAGTATATTAGCATTAAGGGGTTCAAGAAAGGCTCCATATTTTCCTCCTTATACTGGTCTCAACTTTAGCCGTGAGTAAGAATTAGGACCTTCATAACAATTGCTTTTGTGGATTATATGGATATCTTGGTGGGAGTGAAAGTAGCATCTTGATTAACCTTAGAGTGGTTCCAGGCTAATGAGGAAATTCTATGTAGAGCAACATACGTGCAATTTTTTTGCTTACGAGGATTTGCCTACCAATGACTATATGCAAAGATTGATAGTTGTTAAGATGGTTATCAATAAATTTGTAGTTTGTAAAATCCTCATCCAACAAAGGAAGCTTGGCCACAAGTAGTTGTTGATTAAATTCTTTGGGGAGTTTAGAGTTCCATAGCGTTTTATCGCTGATAATTTTTTTGTGTCGTAAATGCTATCATGACTTTAAATAAGAAGATTTTGTGATACTAAGGGCTTCATCGCCCCACAATTCCATCATTAGTTGTATGCGTGCACGCATTGTTTTGTGGCGTTGTAATTGTTGTTATGATTTTAAATAAGTAGATTTTGTGATACTAAGAGCATCATCACCACACAATACCATCAATTAGCTAAATGCATTCCAAGATGCAATATCAACTTATCACTTAGATATAAAGTTTCTAACCCCGAGTGGATCTAATCTAGAATGTGGTAACTTAGCTCTTGTGATCCCTAGCATAAAGTATGTTATAGATGGCCGTCGAAAATATCAAAGGTTCATATCATGTTGAAAGCATAAATGAGGTTTTGCATTTGAGGGACATGCCACTTAAAATTTCCAAATGAGCTCTCTACTAAAAACTAGCAACCTAATTGTACCAATTAAATTGTTACAAATTACATTGTTTTTGTATGGGACTCATTTCAGATGCTCGCGATAGGCTCAAGCATTTCTAACCATTGCTTGATTGTTTGACTAGATAATAAACTAATAAAAAAGAAAAAAAAGGAATTTAGTCAATGATATAAGCAAGTTCATCAAGAAAGAAGTTGACAAGCTTATGGAGGCCATAATCATAAAAAAATTCTAACAGAGTAAAAGCCCAAAATAGTCACCCGACTGTTAATAAATGCCCAATTTAGTCCAAAACTTCTATGATGACCCAATATAGTTTCCTGATTATTAGAAATTATCATAATTTGGCTACAAGGCCAAAAGTAAAAGTTAAAGTCAACCGTAATTGTTAACTGTAAGGATATTTTGGGTATTATGGTGTATGTAAGATTATATTATTTTTTTTATATTTTTTGTGATTTATCATATTAAAAGAAATATAAAAATTATAATGGAAGTTTATCAAATAATTTTTTTATTTTAATATGATAAATAATAAAATATATAAAATAATAATATAATCTTACATATACCCTAATACTTAAAATATACTATCATTTAACTATTAGGGTTAACTTTAACGGTTAATTTTGACCTTGCAATCAAATTGAGTCATTTTCAAATAGTCAAGGAGCCTAAATTGGGGCATTATAAAAGTATGAGATTAAATTGGATATTTATTAATTGTCGGGGGACTGTTTTGGCTTTTACTCAATTCTAATATTAGAAGTGAATCTTTAATTCTCTAATGACCCAAAACAACAGTAGCAAGTGGAGGTGATTGACATGGTAGTCCCATGCTTTGCTCCCCTAACGCTCTTTTGGCATCATTAGATTCGAATTGACCTACTTGATGAGAAGAAACTAGCTTTCTAACCAATAAAGACATCTTTTACTGTTAATCTTATTGTTCAGTCTAAAGAATGCATAGACATATCATTGTCTCTTGGACAATGTTTTTTGGTTTTTGAAAGGGAAAAAATTAGAAATATGCGTTAATGATCTCTCTTAGGGAGACTCTTGAGTAACACTTAGCTAGCCTCACAGAATTTTTCTATTTAATAAGGAAGTACAACATGCTTTTTTTTGCTAGCAAGTGCATATTTGGCATAAGCTCTAGCAAGTTTGTTGATTACCCTAAGTGGAATTGAGCCTAACCTTGACAAGTTCAATGTATCTTGAGTATTACCTCTAGTTTGGAATGTTAATGAAAATCAAAATTAGAAGAGATTAGGTGACCTATTTTTTATATTTATAAGATATTCAAGTTCAAAGAGTCTAGAGTTCAGACATTAAAGTACATAGATTTAAGTATTTTTTTAGTCTAAGCTTTTTATTTCTATTCTTTTGATCTAAAGCAAAAGGCCATAAATTGATCAATATTAGCATTGTGTGGTTCATCAAAAACTTGGCTTGTTAATCGGTTTCGATCAGTTATATGCAAATGAATTTTGGGACTTGGTTGAATCGATTGGAGGATTGGTTCACAATTGAACTGATAGGGTCGATATGATTTTTAAAATCATGCCTTGAAGAGAGTTAATTAAGCTAATTGGATTGAAGGGTGATAGAAGTCATTTTCTAGAATGCATGGTGTGCTAATTATGATTACTAATCCTATGTTGTCCGAGCCAAGGAGAGATGTTGCCATTATATCTCAGTACAATATGGCATGATAACTTAATTTTTTTTTTCTAAATTTGTGGTCCTATGGCATTTTATTTGATCTTAGCAAGTGCGTCTCCTATGCAGTTTGAAAAGTTGAGCCTAACCTAGACAATGTCAAAACAATGTTGGAGGTATTTTACTTCGACTAACAAGATTTGTTGATTAATAGGAATGGTGGTTAGTCTCGATCCAAAGAGAAGTTTGTGCCAACCTTGAAAGCCTTGGAGAGTTAACTATAAGCCAAATGTACTTAAGAGTGCAGGAATTCATTTGGAGTCATTTGAGCCAAGGAGGTGTTATTATATTTCAAATTTAGGTAGATGACTAGTAGCTCGGTTCCAGTTCAAGAAATTGGAAAGTAATAATGAGTATTCAACAAAAGAAATACATTAACTTGAATTGAGCCAAATTAACACAATTAGGTTGAAGTTGGTGAAATTTGCCATCAGTGAGGGTGCTTAGGCTAGGGGTATAACTAAATCAAGTTAGCTAGTAAACCGATTCAAGCTCAACATGATAAATCGTTCTAAGCCAAGCTCGGCTGATTAATAAGCCAAACTTGAGTTCATGTGATGCCACTCGTCAGCTCATGAGCTAGCTCGAGTAAAAATATTGATATAAATTCACAAATATTAGAGTTTAAGGGCTTAATAAAAAGTTGTTAAAAAATCTTGCAATTTGAACTCTTTTATCTTGATTGATTGATTTACAATATTTTTTCTTCTTATTTTTCATTTTTTAAAGTCATCTTATTGAAATAACTACTCAACTTAGAATTTTATTTTTTCCATTATAAATGAGCTAGCTAATGATCCAGCTTGGACTCATATTATTGAGATTGAACTCAATTAATTCATGAACTTGCTTCAAATCTATGTCAAGCTTATGTTATGGGTGACTCGAGCTCAACTTGACTCATTTATATTGCTATCTTAATCCTTCTAAGCATAAGATCCAAGTCATAACTAACAAATCCTTTAAGTATTTTCTGCTTAGACAAAACATAAGTAGAATTAGTTGATTGAGTTGGATGAATATGAGCTAAAGTAACGCACGAGCACAAGCTGATGTAGATTGACCAAGAAGAGTAATGGTTCACTCCCATTCTTAATTTCCTATCAACAAGGAAGAGACCACACATCTGTGTCAAGGCTTGGAGGGTCCAACATCAGGCTGTGAGATATATCATATCTTATTGGTTTTTCTATTGATAATCTTATTTTGGGGTCAGCAAAAGTTGCACAAGTACAAGAGTTACCTAGTTGGCTCATGTTAGCGAAGATAACACTCTATTAAGTGTACTACAGCCCCATTCGTAGGCATGTTACCAAACACTAATCCTAAACTTGTAGGAGTTGACAGTTCTATGGGAATTCAATAGCCGGTTTAGCAGTAGAACACAATTTCCAGCCAAGGGCCTTTCACAATCCAGAGGATAGATTTAATTGGTTTTCTCACTTGGATGATTGAAAGAGGACAATTCTTATGTGTTACGGCAGATCATCCACTAACTAGGTTGATGTCGTGCTGTTAGTCAAAGCAATTATCAAAATGGTCATCAAACTCCTTTGGAACATTTTTACTCATTATTATTGCCCTTTCTCCTTGATAATAGACATTGTTCTGTAATTTGCTAGCCTAAAAATGATTAATTCTGTTATGAAAATGGGACTAACTTGAAGTTCGTCTCAGTAGCCACCTGTAGACAAACATACATGTTGAACAAGCTAATAAGATTATACTGAAGATCTTAAAAGAAGAAGGTGAAGTTTCTTAACTGTGAGTTGATGAGTTGACTGTAGTTCTTTGGGCCTACAGGGCAACTCCAACTTTCGCAGGAGAGACTTAAAACTGATATAAATTTAAATAACATAAAGTTATTTATTTTCCATCAAATCATTCATTTTCTATATTTAGTATTTTCTGGAAGGAATTTGTGATGAATCAAAGTTTCTTAACACCTTATTACTCATGCCAGGTCAACCCAAAAGGCATCTCTTAACTACTGGCTGGAGTGTGTTTGTCAGTGCCAAGAGACTTGTTGCTGGGGATTCTGTTCTTTTTATATGGTTTGATACATACTTTTTTCTTTCCCGTCCTTTACAAATGAGTATTTTAATTCTTTTGTGGTTGTGCACTAGACAAACCATCCATCAAAGTTTTCTATTGTTAGGAATGAGAAGAATCAGCTTCTGTTAGGCATCCAACGTGCAAATCGTCCACAAACTGTTATGCCTTCGTCAGTTTTATCAAGTGATAGCATGCACATAGGACTTCTTGCTGCAGCAGCTCATGCTGCTGCTACTAACAGCCGTTTTACTATTTTTTATAATCCAAGGTAGCTTCTGCTTTCATTTGACGTCTTCCATTGGTAAGCACTTGTTCTCTCTATGATACATTCAATGGCGTGTTTCATGCTCAATTCTTGCAGGGCATGCCCATCTGAATTTGTTATCCCGTTATCCAAATATGTTAAAGCTGTATTTCATACTCGTGTATCAATTGGCATGCGCTTTAGAATGCTTTTTGAGACTGAGGAGTCAAGTGTAAGAAGGTAAAAGATTAATAGCTGGTTATAATGGTTTTCTCTCATTGATGATTGCATTTTGTTTATGCTCATGAAATTTAGTGCATTGTTCTTGGTGAAGCACTGTATGAAAGTTTTCTTCCTATCGTTTTTCTGTTTCTATTCATAAAATAAATTGCAACAATATTATGAGTTTTCTCTTCATCTGAGTTTTTGCTGGTTTTTTTTCCTGGCTGATTCTTTATCTTGAGCACCATGTTGAGTCAAGGTACATGGGGACAATAACTGGCACCAGTGATTTGGATCCTCTTCGTTGGCCTAATTCTCATTGGAGATCGGTCAAGGTAATTTATGCACTCCTGATTGTTATCTTTGGTCAATAAGCTTTTCGGCTTTGGCACATTTAATGCACTCACGCATTGTTAGAAATTGTTAATTTTTTTATGATTTTTTTTGTGCATTTGGATTTTAAGTAGGTTTATTAGCAAAGTAGGCATATTTCAGATCCAAAGTTTCTAATGTTGATGTAAATCAAGAACCTGATACTTATCAGACTTCCATCTGATCTTATACATATATGTGCCCATGCTATTACTGATAACATATTATGAATTTCAAGTAGCTAATATCTAAATATAGATCCATGATATTTTAAGTTGTAGATCATTTTTTATCTTCTAATCTTTCACATAATAATGAATCTCAGGTATTTCAAAATTAAGTGCCAAGTGCCAACTGTTGAATGTGAAATTTTAGTTCTAGATACTTTCTATGTACATAATCAACCTACACATCATATATGTAAGTGGTTTATTGTCATTAACGGCTTATGGATGCACCCTTATAGTCTAATGTTGGTTAACTTCCTATTTTTCCTTATTTTATTTGTGAACCTTCGAAGTGGATTATTTTCTTTATTTTTTAATAGTGAGCGTATTATTTATTGGCGTAAATTCTTCTTTGTGGGTGATAATAAGAGATGGTTTCGTCACAGGCTCTCCAAACTTACAGAGTCATGAATGTAGTCAAGGTTTTTCAAAAGAATAGTTTAGATGATATGATGATACTAATAACAATGCTTTACTAGACTTATTTTGTTGCTTTTTTGAAATATTGTTAGATTGTTATTTCAGAACTATTTTTAGCAGTTAGATTTGTTGATAATTTTCCGCGTAATTGGCATGATAATTGGGTTTAATTGATAATGAAAAATTGTCGTTTTCTGTCGAAAGAATTGATCGGTCCATGTAATAGATTTGTAAAACCTGTTACCCAATTGCTTAAATGTTGATTGCTACTTGTTGGGCAAGGTTGTTCTTAGCCGAGGCCCGGATCGATTATAAGAATATAATTAGATTTCTGTTAGAAAGAATTCAGATAAATTGATTTAAGAAGGAAATAATGGAGTAAAGAAACATTGCAGAAAAAAAGAAGAAAAAAAGGGTAAAGAAATTTAGTGCTTATAGCAATTGTGGATCCAGTCAAGAACAAAATCCACTTCAGCCAGTTGTTAACTGAGTTTGGGCCTCTTGGCCAAATGGCTGCCCTATGATTGACAATTGAGATTGCTTGGCTGCATCGGCTTGGTAACATTTACTCAACTATGACTGCCATGAAGCCTCCAACTTTCTTTCAAATTTGGTAGCTTTTAGTGCAGTTGAACTTGTACAGATCATTGTACAAATGGATGATTCTATTATGATTTTTTATTTATTTATGTTGATTATGTTTTCATGTACCCATCTATGCTAGATTTCTTACAAACTAGTCTAAATGTGGTTTTCTGATGAACCAAATTGCTATCACTTTTGAAGTATAGGTCGGTTGGGATGAATCTACAGCTGGTGAGAGACAGCCTAGAGTTTCTCTGTGGGAGATTGAGCCCTTGACAACATTTCCCATGTATCCGTCGGTGTTTCCTCTCAGACTTAAACGGCCTTGGCAACCTGGGTTACCATTTCCTCAGGGTACTTGTCTTGAACCGTTTTTCTATTTTAATTCCATTTCTGCCAGAACCTTCCTCCTGCGTACCACACTCGGACATTCAATTATCTACTAAGTAGAACCAAATTTCTATAACCGTATCTACATGTATAATTAACTATAGCATCTTAGCATGAACTTAACGAAAGTCAATACACAGCTTAAATGAACTATTTTATAGCACATCTTCCGCCTCCCCACCAAGCTTGCAAGGCTGTGGATCACTCCTTTATCTCCCCATTCTTCTTCTTTCACTGCTTTTCTTGTAAGTTTTGCTAAAACATGGCAATTTAATTTGTATAGAAGAAAATTTCCTTAACCATATTTATTTGTGAATTTGATCACTGAAATATATTGTTTACTTGTTATATAGATTTCTAAAAAGTTAGATCTTACATGTTGGCATGAAGTTGTCAACAATCAATTAACCACAGGAATATATTATGTAAATATGCATGTTCCTTTGCATCACCAAGCTTGTATTTGCTATAGCCTGCTCTTCTTGTCTCCATATTATTTGTCCAAATTGGTGTTAGCTTAAATAACCACTAACCAGAAAATAGATAGATCAGTTGGAGGCCACGGAAAACCACTTGAACTTGTTTTTGACTTCCTGCAGGGAATTTAATTATTTCTCCTTTGTTGATTACTGAATTTCAACCTAATTTTGAATTGAGTTAGTTTTCATCTGGTGATTTCTCTCTGCATATTTAGAATTATTTTATTTCTCCTTTTGTGCATTGTCTTTCGGCCTAATGTGACATAGGTGTGCAAATTGCATCTCACTTTCTTCTTGTTTGAAAGCTTAAGTATGACTCTTCACAGTTGTAATAATTAGTTACTTTTTTCAGTTTGAACATTCACTGAATTATGCTTTTCTCCCATTTTGAATTCGATGCATTTATCCATGGTTTTGCTTTTCCATTAGTTTTTGACAACAGAGGAGACGAGAGTGCTGCTCTAATGTGGTTCGGGGAAGTTGCAAGAGAACAAGGTCTTCCTTTGATGAACTTTCAGTCTGGCATGGGTCCATGGATTCAAAGGGTTGAACCGACAATGGTTGGAAATGAGCTTGACCTGTACCAATCTGTGTCTGCTGCAGCTCTTCAGGATAGAAGTGGGGATCTTAAAAAACAACAGTTACTGCAGTACCAGCAACCTTTCCAATTTCACTTCCAGCCTTGCAAGTCTACTTCATTATTGGAGCAACAATTTATCCAACAAACGCTGCCACAGAAAATCTTTAGCCCTCAGTTGCATGTTTCAGAAAACCAGAATGATATGCTCCTGCAGTTACACAATGAGCAGCAGAAGCAACAGCCACAGGCATTTGAGCAGGTTTTCCAAAATCCCACGGAAGATATGCCACATCAACAAACACCTTTGGTTTCTCAGCTGCAACAAACTTTAGGTTTTCCAGACCTAAGCACAGATTACTTAACTGTTACAACACCTAGCTGTTTACAGAGTTTGATAAGCTCTAGTTGCTCTGAAGGCAGTGCTAATGTTATTAACCCCTCTAGACTTAGGGCACCCATGACTCAACATAACCAGCAAATATGGGAACCTAAGATTGGAATATATGAAGCCACGCTGGTGAACTCAGCTTTTTCATCATACCCTGATAAGGGTAGGTCATTGGAAACTGAAAAATGTAGTGCTGGTTCCCACAATGATACGGCATTTGGTGTATCCATTGATTCCCACAATCTTCACCCCAATGCAGCTCTTAATTTGACCACGAGTTCTTTTGTTTCTGATTTACCTGCTGAGCCATATTTGGCTTCATGTTTTCAGAATTCCTTGTATGGGATACCTGATAAAACATCCAGCTTGCTTCAAAATTCAGGAGAGGTTGATCCTCCAAGCAAAACGTTTGTTAAGGTAAAATAATTGGTCTTTTCAAGGACAATGCTTGATATTAAGAATATCAGAAGAGGTCCTTCCATTTTGATAAAAAATAATCAGCAACCTTATTCCATTGATGATTGATGTTAGCATTACCTTAATTTTTCAGGTTTACAAGGCAGGTTCTGTTGGAAGATCACTGGACATCTCTCGGTTCAGCAGCTACAACGAGCTGCGCGAAGAGTTGGCACAGATGTTTGGTGTAGAGGGTAAAATAGAAGACCCTCTTAGATCAGGCTGGCAGCTTGTATTTGTCGACAGGGAGAATGATGTGCTTCTTCTTGGAGACGGACCTTGGGAGTAAGAATATTAATTAAAAAGCAATGTTTTTAGTCCCAGTATTACATACAATGATGGAATTTTGATATTCTAGTTTGCAATAGTTGTATTTCAACATGCACCACTTGAAACTCTGTATCAATGTACTAGATAATTTGGAACCCTTATTAAAGTAGATGTGAGACTTAAAGTTTATTTTCTTCCCTGACTCTATCAGAATGGTGGAAGAAAATCCTCTTATAGTGAAAAAAACAGTCAGTTGTTTATATTTATACTATTAAACTGAGTAAAGTTCTCATTTGGCAATGTATTTTAATGTTGTGTTGTTTTCTTAGGTGCTGTGTTGTATTGTGTTGTTAAGTGAATGATTTTTGGTTAAAATTGTAGTTGCGTTTGTTTTCTATGCCATTTTGACATATTGTTTGGTTAAAATAGTTGTGCATTAATACAGATTAATTAAATGACAAATATAGACATGATTAGTTATTAATAAGTTATATCTATTGTATTTATCTTGAAAATATCTATTGAAATTAATAATCGAACAAGTATTTATCCATGAATAAAATTAAAGTTAGAATACTAATTAAAATTACAGAATGATTTATGCAATAATAATATGAAAATAAATTTTATAACATTCATCCATCAAAATCATCTAACACGATAATTAAAAGAAATTATAAAGGATTTTTGTGGTAATATATTTAACAAATGAACTCGTGCTATGCGAGGTATTGTTTGCATTGACTTAGCCTATTATATATTATTATGTTGAATCTTACAATTTTAATCTTTTTAGTATAACAGCTTAAAAGGTCATGCAACCTAGGGGTGCTCCATTACGAGTACACTTAATTATGAAGTTCCCAAGAGAGTTAAGCCTATTACACAAAAAACCATTTTATATGTTTAGCCCAACCCTTTCTTATATAGCCCACACTATCCATTCCTCTTCTTATGCTGTAGGATTTTTTTTCATTTTGACCCCCTTTTTCTCCTCGAAGCTTGCCATCAGAGTATGTGTGCTCCGAAAATTTAAGCTTTTGAAGCCCCGGCCCATCTGCGTATATTCAAGGAGAGTTTTAACGGATTAGTATCGGTGAAAATGTTTGGAAGGTATTAGATAGAGATAAAATACTAATAGAGATTTCAACCTCTTAGCGAGGACTTCAAGATTTGAGTTTTGGTTTTCTACAGACCCAATCCTCTATAGTTAATTACCCCTCATGATAATGAGAGAGCAATTTTAATTTAGGCTAGTCATTAGATATATACTTAGTACCCGACATAATAACAACAAATTTAAAATTATCACTGCACACTTAAAGCGGATGGCAAGGAAAATGACGATGAATCCGATCAAGATCCCATAATTTCATCTTCCCAAGTCATCATGGTTTATAGTCTACTTAGTCAGAGCCCAGAGGAGGTAGTCGACCCAATCAAATCTAAGGATCCTTGTCGACAATCACAGGTTGCTTCGTGCAAGGGTACCTTGTACATTTGGGGTGATTGATTGCCTCAAAAATGAATTCAATACGACCTTAGTTTACAGAGGGCTTTGTGTTCTATTGATTATATTCTATAAATCATTATTTAATGATAGCTAATCATTAAGGAGTATACGGGCTTATAACCGTGATTCTAATATAGTGGAGTTATTTGATCAAGCCATCAGGTCAGAACGATGTGGTCATAATTGATTGTCACGTGGACTCGTTATGGCCAAGCTAGTGGTTCTTTGTGGAGTCGTCTGGTCAAGCCACTCATTAGAAGACCATTCATAACCGTCTACTGTGTGGAGCCATCTGGCCAAGCTATGAGTGTTGTTTGAGAATGCCTGTATTTAATCAATATTGGGAGGCATTTATTTGGTATATTTTCCTCTAGCTGAGATAAACTTTCAACATGGCTATCATCGGGGGTGAAGTACTTAGTATCTTTGGTTATTTAAATTCTGTCGAATTTGTTTGCCCCCCAACAGAGGATCGTATTTGGTGATTGATACTGTGAGTTACTATTTAAACATTGAGAACCAAGAGCATATATTTTTATGATGAGTTTCATTTAGAGAGCCTTTGAAGGTCCAATTTGAATTTTGAAATAAAATTATTGATAGATGCATTTATTTGATAGATTCCACTCTAGTTGAGATAAAATTTCAACTATCATTGAGGGTGAAGTACTTAGGATCTTTGGTTATTTAATTTATGTCTACTATGTCTGTCCACTAATAGAGGATTAAATTTATTGACTGATATTATGAGTTATTATACTAACGTTGAGAACCGAGAGCTTATATTTTTATGATGAGTTTCATTTAGAGAGCCTTTGAAAACCTAATGTGAATTTTAAAATTAAATGTATTTATTGATTTATGATTTGGCGTTCGTTTGTTGGTCCAAGTTGTGTTAACTTCACTCCTTTCAAGGAGGAGGATCGAACTTGAAATACAATCCTCATAGTATTCTCAGACCTTAGGATTAGAAGTTATATGCGGCGATTAGAGCATGCAATTGATTACTTTTGAAGTAGAATTTTTAATTAACAAGCTTTTAATATTGCACATCATTCTTAGATATTGATGTTTTTAATTTTAGCTCGTTTGTCAAAGCATATGTGAGCATTTAAATTTCCTTCAAATATTATGTATACTTTTCAGTGCATTTTGCATAATGCATTTGCATAATAATCGTCATTTTTGTAGGATGTGCATGATGCATTTGCATTTGCATGATGATGACTCATTTGCACATTGCTTAGGATGCATGTATAATTCATTTGCATGTTGCATAATGCGTTTGCATGTTACATGTATGTTTGCATAATGCATTTGCATGCTAGCTTAATGCATTTGCATGATTGGTATAATGCATTTGCTTGTTGTGTATATATATGCATAATACATTTGTTTATTGTATAACAAGTATGCTTAATACATTTGCATATTGCGTAGTATACGCATAGAGTATTCACAGGGTGATGTAGTGCATGTATATTATGTATTTGAGTGTTGAACAAGCCTACATCTATGTCATCTAGCCTACATCTATGGTTTTCTCTAACATATTGGGTATATGTTTCAACCCTTTGTGGGGTTTAGTAAAAACCTCTTGGAAGGAGACAAAATATAATAAGCAACATTGGATAGTATCAAGCATTAGTTATGAGAACATTCTTAGGTTACTTGAACAAGCATCGATCCCGATTTCTACTGCTTGTATGTCTAATTGTGCAAGTTATTTGAAACATGAGATGACAGTTGGTATAATGATATTTTAAATTTTACTTAATTGGAACACGGGAGGTTGCTACTTCAAAATTGATTAAATCAATCCAAGCTTTAAGAAGGGGTCTACATCGAAGTCTTACATGTATCTATAACTTTAAGAGTCTGCCCTAGGGTAGAGATTGACCATTAATATTGATGATAAAAATTTATTGGTCACATTTGAATAACTATCCAAAATTAGGTGAGATTATTGACTTTATTGAAATTATTTTCTAATCAAGCATAACTTATGGCGAGATCATGCATCTCAATGCAATTTAGGACATGTTGACGCCTTGCTTGTAGTTATAGCCTAAATAGTCTAACCTCGAGATAATGATTGACCATTAGATACTGATGATGAAACTAGTTTTTGTGAACGTGTACAGGAGAGATGCCGTAGATGGACATTGAAACAGAGAAGAAGGAAAATAAAACGGTGTATATTATGTTCACGAGTATTACATACATGTATATATATAAGGACAGAATGTAGTAATGTAAGCCTGCGGTGCAATATATTAAACTAGTATTTATTTGACTGGGTCGTCTGGGTTAACACCCCCTTACAAACGGATGATGGAGAAGCAGAAGTTAGTTTGTGCGTGAGGTGATGAAATCTAGTAATTGGTAGGGCCTTTGTGAAGGTATCAGCGATCTGTTCTTTGGTGGAGATGTGGTGGACTTTGAATTGTTTTATTCTTGATGCATTCCCTGATGAAGTGACAATCGACTTCAATATGCTTGGTGCGAGCATGGAAGACCAAATTTTTTGCCAGAGCAATCGTGGACGTGTTGTTGCAAAATAACTGCATAGGCTGTGTTTGTGGACAGTCGAGTTCATGCAAAAGTTGACGAGTCCAGATGAGATCGACTGCAGTGGCTGCAAGAGCACGGTATTCTGCTTCAGTGGATGATCGTGCGATTGTGTTCTGCTTCTTGACGCTCCACGAGATGGGAGAGGAACCGAGGAAGGTACAGTAGCCTGTCGTTGATTTGCGACCGCGATGATCACCTGCCCTGTCTGAATCTACATATGAAGAAAGAAGTAGTGAGTTTCGGTTTAGTGGTAGTCCGTGACTTAGGGAGCCTTTGATATAACCAAGAATGCGTTTGAGTGCATCAAAGTTAGAGTCGTTTGGTTGATGCATGTATTGGCATGCTTTATTTACTACGTAAGTAATGTCGGGTCATGTTAAAGTGAGATATTGAAGAGATCCGACGATTTGATGATATAAGAGGGGATCAAAAAATAAATTGGAGGTGTCAGGAGTTTTGTGGGACTTAGCTGTTATTGGTGTTGAAGTCAGTTTGCAGTTTTGCATTCCAACACGTTGTAGGATCGTTTGGGGGTACCGACTTTGCTGAAGGAGGAGACCTTCGGTTGTTTGCACTGTTGTTATGCCCAGGAAGTGGGATAGTGTACCGAGATTTCTTGTGTTGAACCGTTGGTGGAGGAAACTGAGGAGATGGTTTATTGAAGCAACATTGTTGCCTGTCACGATTAAGTCGTCAACATATATGAGAAAATACATGTTTATATTAGCTTTATGATAGATTGTAAGAGAGGGATCGGAGTTGCTTGTTCGAAATCCTTGGTTATGCAGAAAGCCGATGAGTGTGGCAAACCATTTTCGCGACGATTGCTTGAGGTCGTAGAGAGCCTTATTTAGTTTGCAAACGTGATTAGGATATGTTTGGTCGCTGAATCCTGGTGGTTGATGCATATAGACCGTTTCTTGGAGTT